GGGCAAAGCAGAAAGTCAGAAACCGAGAAACCAAAACAGTCATACACAGATAATCAAACCAATAAGTAAACCAAAGATAATCCAAACAATGAGCAGAGCTCCCGAAGTTTGCGATCCGCGGTCTTTTCTTCACAGGAACCAGGAAGTGACGCGTGATACATCAGGGGATATGTGGGCGGGGTCCAGTCAAGGAGGCGGAGCGAAGATGCAGCCGGCGAATGACGAAGGAGGGAGGTCCGGAGATTCTGCAGGGCTCCCCCTGGAACTTACGGCACGTAACAATACTTTTATTTACAGTACTTTATAGCCTTGATATGCTACAACCATATAAAACTTGCTCACATTTTGCTCTGGCCTCCGCGTGTTCGCTTAGCACACTCATGTTTCCGAGAAAGGTCTTTTTAGATTACAAAGCGGATCTAAATCTTGATAATTGTATAGATGAATTCTGGGAAGATTTGCGCGCGGTATCGGAGTGAAATTGGAGTGAGACAGAGCGACTGCTGCAGCCTTAATTAAAAAACCGCTCCACTCCGCTCACATGCTCTGTTATGAACGTATATTTATTTAAATTAACTGAACTTTGAACTAGTACTTTTTCAGTGTAAACTGGCACAACACTGTCCCTGTCTCTTGGTCTCCCGGAGAGGAAGAGGACACCTGCGCCGGGGTCAGGTCCTGCCCCATCTGCCCCCCGGCTTGCCTTCGGTCCCCCTGGCTTTGGCTCGGCGGTCGCCTGCGGTCCTCCTGGCTCCTGCTTGGCGGTCGCCTATGGTCCCCCCTGCGGTGCCTCGTTGGGTGGCTGCAGTCCCGCCTCCGAAGCCCTGTTGGTCACCTGCGGGTTCCACTGCTCCAACTGGTCGGTCGCCTGTGCCTTCACCGACTGTGGCTACGCTTGCTGCGGCTTCTGGTTCTTGCCTCCTCCGTTGTTCCCTTCACCTACCTCTGCGCCTCTTTCAGCAGTCTCTCCGCCTTCCTCCTCGACCCCTTCGGTGTCCTCACTGGCTCCTGCCTCGCAGTCACCGAGGGTCCCTCCTCCTCTAGCCTCGCGGTCACCTGTGGCCCCTGTGACTCCCGCCTTTTGCCTGCCAGGGTTCCCTCCAGCTCCCTGGTGCCCTCCGCCCTTTGCCTCCTTGCCCCCTGAGTTTGATCCCCATCTCTCTGTCCTGCCTTTGTTCCCTCCTTGTCCCTTCGCTCCTTTCGTTGGTGTGCCCCATGCTGTCATCCCTCCGTTGTTCCCGTCTTTGGTGTCCCTGTTCGTGTCTGCATGGTTTTCTTTGTTCCGGTTCTGTGCCGTCCCCGGTTTTGGCCCCTCGGTCCTGTTAGGCACACCCGGAGTGCGCACCTTTAGGGGAGAGGGTTCTGTCACACCCTGCTTGTCCGATCCTTCTGTGTGCCACGCCCTGCTCGCTACCTCGTGTGGAATCCCGATGTCACCAGCTGTTTCCAGTCATGTTAAGTCTGCGTTCAAGTATGTTTCCCCAGTCCGGTCATTAACGTTACGTGGTTGTCTTCCAATCGTGTCTAAACCCCATATTCTTCCGACACCTCGAGTCCTGCCTCTCCTTCCCTGGTCCGCGCTCACCAGTACGTAACATTTCTCCTCTCTCACCCTTTCTCGCTGCCAGTAGAGGCTGCTGATGTCCACCTCCTTGGCAGCTAAGTTATTGCTAGCCTCTCACTGGAAATCTCCTGACCTTGCCATTCCCTCTGTCTGAAAGTCTATATTCTTTAATTTGCTGCTGCCTGAACTGTCTGCTGCCCGAATTAATAATTCCTCTGGCTCTACTCTTCACAGCTGGCTTCAACATGTGCAGCTAGTCAAGGACTGGCTGGGGGTCATTTTGTGAGTCTGCATTATTTATTTATTTACCTATCTACTTATCTACTTTAATTAAATTTTTTAACTTTTATGTTTGTTAACATTTGTTTATTTTCACAGTTTCTACTTGTATCGTTTTGTCCTCAGCTTTCAGCTGCACTCTCTCTGAGGCTGGGTGTGCCGGTGACTTGATGGATCATTGACTTCTTAGAAGAGTATAAAAATAGCTTAAACATTTCATTACCAGGCAATAGTTAACAAGCAACGAGAATTATTCTCAGAATCCTAAACATCTGAAATACTGCAGTGGCATCGAAGTATTAGACATGTTACATGTAATATATATATGTTTCTTTTTCAAGAACAACACAATGCAGGAGAGCCATAGTATGAGGCGAGTTTGGTTGGACCTAAGCTGAGTAAATCCAGCATTAAAGGCCCACGTGGCCCCTCAAGGGATAATCCTCCTCATAGGCCTGTTTCAGCAGGCTGACATCACAGTTGCAGACACTCAACCATGGCAGGCAGTACACAGAAGGTTGTGCTCATCACCGGCTGCTCCTCTGGGATTGGTCTACAGACAGCTGTGATGTTGGCAAAAGATAAGAAAAAGCGCTACCATGGTAAATCTGTTTCATTCATTCTCTGAAGATTAGTAAGACAAGTAAATGTACTATTGAGTTAATTTCCAATTAGGGATTTATTTTGGAGATTATTTATATCAGTAGCCTATCAATTTATTATGGAAAATTTTTATATATCCAGGTATTCTTTGTCATGAGTTATTTTGTTGTTGATCAAATTTTATAAAATTATGTACAGGATGTATAGCATCCAGGGCATTGAAATCACTTTGACCATTATTCACTTGTAGCCAGTATCTAATCTTATGAAGCCTGTTTATTGCATCCCCTTAAGAGCAAAGGTCTCTATCTCCCTCTGTAGCCCCCCTGCTTATTTATTTCTCCATTGTTAAGCTACAGTATGGTTAGTCCTCTCCCACAGTTCTCATTCCACCCTGCCATTCCAGTGCCATGTGCATCTATACACCTCCTTCACCTTCGTCAGACACATGCACGCATTGTTCATGTTACAGGTGTCAGTGTGAGGACTGTTATCAATGTCAGTGACTGTATGAGTGATAATATTGATGGTGTATCCTTAGGCAAGGACTGTAACCCCATAAACTGCTCCAGGAGCACCAAGTAAATAGCTGACCTTGCACTCAGACCCAGAGCTTCACTCTCACCTCTATGTGTTGTGTCTCATAAGGGGGTTAAGAAGGGATACGTGAGAAGAAAGCCCATGTCCAGGCATGCAAGGCGGAGTATCTCATCTCATTAGCACCCTTGCTAATAACCTTTCTTCTCAGTCTTTATTATGTCTACACAAAACTTCAAAAGAGTGAAATATCTGTGTGCAAAATGACTGAAAGACATTCCCAGAGATCACCAGTCCCCTATATATGTAGACTCCTAAATGACAATGGATATTAGTTTTTAGATTTGAGATATCAGAATTGCAGCTTGATGATGTTAGTAAGAATATTTTATTGTAACAGCAAAATAAGTCAGGGTTAATGGCAATGGTCTTTCATAACGCTGAAAATGCAATAAACTAATGACATTACATTTACTGTATATTTTGTTGTGCTATATTAGTAAACTTCCATGTCTCAGTGATTGCTGGTGTGTCTCATTAAATCTGCATGTCTAAGTGTATTTTGGACAGCTCATTGCCAGTGTGCACCTGCCCCTAGTTATTGCCACCATGAGGGATCTGAAACGAAAGGACAAGCTGCTGGAAGCAGCAGGTGATGCCTATGGGAAGACACTGGCTCTGCAGACACTTGATGTTTGTAGTGATGAATCGGTCAGACAGTGCATTAACAGCTTGAAGGACCAACACATTGATGTGCTCAGTGAGTATGCTGACTGTTAACTTTGTAAAGCTATTTTAAGCAAAGGGCAGCTTCAAATTCAAGCCAGGCCAGTTTGGATACTCTGTTTGTCTTTGATCTTATATCTCCACCTTCTGACCAACACTGGAATTGTCAGAGCATCAATTTCTTTGCTGTGATAGGTCCTGTTCCATAAAACCTGGAGATATACATTTTTTCTCTGATATCAGTTGTATATGTTACTTCAATGAATATTGAATTTTTTAAATACAAAATTAGCATTTAACAATTAACTATTTCTTCATACCCCCCAGTCAACAATGCTGGTATTGGTCTAGTTGGCCCAGTGGAATGCATCAGTATGGAGGAAATGAAGAAGGTCTTCGAGACCAACTTTTTTGGCATGGTGCGCATGATTAAACATGTGATGCCAGACATGAAGAGGAGGCGTGGTGGACACATCATTGTAGTGAGCAGTGTCATGGGATTACAAGGTACAATGTTAAGATATGTCATCATGACTATTAGAGCAGTGGAACCACAAAAGAACAGCACTAGTCAAATCATCACTGTGATCAATGTCATGAAATTGTAAGAAACATAGTTATTGTAGTGGTCATGATTCACAGTTATTCAGTCTAATTCCCACTTTCTCCAGCTGTGGTGTTTAACGATGTCTATGCGGCTTCAAAATTTGCCATGGAGGGTTTCTGTGAGAGCTTGGCTGTGCAGCTGCGCAAGTTTAATGTCACGTAAGTCAGTCCTACTTTCTCTGTTTATTCACTTCTGACCAAAGGCCTGCTGTCAATCTCAACCCCCTGTTTACCAAGTATCTCTCTGCCCCCTGTCTTGAAAGCAAGATCCTGCTTTATTTTCTGTTATGACGCCATAAGTAACTCATGACCGAGACCAGCGCAGCTCCCATACAGGGGTGATTAATCACTTTCATGGTTTTATTATCCTATGTACATAGTACATAATTGCTACTGATATGCATCATTCAGCCTAGTGCCAATAAATAGAATAAGATCACTGATAAATAAAAGAAATAACACCACTGTAGCTTACACCCCACATTTATTCATACAAGAGACACAGTAATGGAACATTACCAGCAACATATTACCAGTTACAGTGATGTTAAATGAATAATGTGTTACAGAACCCGTGTAACATGAGGCAAGCATACACACTCAACATGCACAGATTGTTTGAATTGTGTCAGAAGTTTTGGGGGGTCTCTACAATCTTGACATTAAAAAAAAGGTGTTGACTGGGGGTGTGGGGGGTAGTGACATTAAGAGTTATCGACAGGGGTGGGAGGGGTCATTTTGTACGATGATCGTTTTCAGAGGGACCTGACAGATTTCTTCAATGAAACCCCAGGTTCTTTTAGTTGAATGATGAGTGTTGTGAAGGCAATAAGACAGACACTGACGCGGCAAAGCTGTAAGTCCTGTTGTTTTATTAATACTCTCCTCAGAGAAGTCAGAGGTACCCGGGGCTGAGCCAGAGAACGTAGCTGAAACTCAGGTGGGGAGATAGGAAGATCGGCTTCGGTACAGACGAGGGAGAGGCGCAAAACATGGTCGAGAATCCAGGCAGGGGTCGGGCGATTGGCGTCGGTACAGACGAGGCAGAGGCGAAAAACACAGTCGAGGGTCCAGGCTGAGGTCGGGCGATCGAGTCTAGGAAACGTAGCAGAGGTCAGAACACAGGGAAACACACACCGGAAAAAACGCTCGAACTCAGGGCACACCATGAAGATCTCGCACTGATCAGAGAACCCAGTTGCCTGATATAGTGAAACTGAAACTGGGGAAAACAAGACACAGCTGGGAGAGCAGTGTCTGGAACGGGAGCAACCGGTATGGCCAGAAAAACTGGTTGACAGGACGTGAAACCTCGGGGAAGCCCTATCGATCGGAACCCCCGGAGGGGTGTGGCTGAGACGACGATGGGGATTACTCAGTGCTATCCATGACAGTACCCCCCCCCCGAGGCGGACGAGACGGGAGGTCAGGACGATGACAATGAAGGTCCGCAATCAACGAAGGATCAAGAACAAAACGGGCCGGCACCCAGGAGCGTTCCTCAGGGCCATAACCCTCCCAGTCCACCAGGTACTGGAGACCCTGTCCCCTGCAACGAACATCCATCAGTCAGCGGACTGTGAACACCTCGCCCCCATCCACTAACCGGGGCGGGGGTGGAGGCAGACTTGGGGAAGCCAGAGGGCTGGTCGCATGAGGTCGAAGCAGAGACACATGAAAAGCCAGATGGACGCGCCGCATGGAGCATGGAAGCTGAAGACGTACCACTGAGGGACTAACAACCTTAGAGACTGGAAACGGGCCAACAAAACGAGGAGCCAGCTTACGGGACTGGACATGTAGAGGTAAGTAACGGGTGCTCAGCCAAACCTTCTGCCCAACCCGGTAGACAGGCGCACGTGAGCGGTGTTTATTTGCGTAATGTTCCATCCGTGCTCTGGATCGTAGCAACGATGAACGGGCTGGGTGCCAAGTGCGACGACAGCGTTGCAGGAACCGATGCATCGCAGGTACTGATGCACCGCAGGTACCGTGACCTCTTCTTCTAGAGCCGGAAACAGAGTAGGGAATTGTGTGCATATTCAATCCAAGACAGATATTTACTCCATGAACTGGGAGAGTTGGAAGCCAGACAGCGCAACATGCGCTCCAATTCCTGGTTGGCACGTTCTGTCTGACCGTTAGTCTGATGGTGAAAACCTGAAGACAAGCTTGCGGTAGCGCCGAGTAACGTGCAGAACTCCTGCCAAAAGTGTGACACGAACTGGGGACCCCTGTCGGAAGCAATGTTAGTAGGCAATCCATGAAGCTTGAATACATGGTCAATCAATAGTTGAGCAGTCTCTCTTGCAGAAGGGAGCTTAGGGATGGGGATAAAGTGAACAGCCTTAGAATATCGGTCGACCACAGTAAGAACGGCCGTGTTCCCCACTGACAGTGGAAGACCAGTCATGAAATCCACAGCAATATGTGACCAGGGTCACCGAGGAACAGGTAGGGGTTGCAACAGACCAGCTGGAGACTGAGACGGAGTCTTGTTTCGCGCACAGACCTGGCAAGCAGCGATATAGCCCCGAACATCCCGAAGCATCGTGGGCCACCAAAAACGTTGCTTAAGAAGGGCGACAGTTCCCTGAATTCCTGGGTGGGAAGCTAGGAGGGACGCATGTCCCCACTGGAGCGTTCGAGGACGTAGAAACTTGGGGACGTAGAGCCTGTTTGGAGGACCCCCTGCAGGAGGGTGGAAGAATCGCTGGACTGCCTGGACGGCCTCCTCAATACCCCAGGCTACGGCTCCAACAAAACGGCTGGGAGGCAGGATGGGACTGGGGTCGTCATTACGGTTCTCCCCCTCGAACTGTCGAGACAGTGCGTCCGGCTTGCCGTTCTTCACCCCTGGTCTAAACGAGAACAGAAAGTTAAAATGGGCAAAAAACAGAGACCACCTAGCCTGGTGGGCATTCAGGCATTTAGCGGTCCGTAAGTATGCAAGGTTCTTATGGTCGGTCAAGACCAGGAACGGGTCTGTTGTCCCCTCCAACCAGTGCCTCCATTCCTCCAGAGCCAACTTCACTGCCAACAGTTCGCGGTTTCCGATGTCATAATTCTTTTCAGCCGCCGTCAGCTTACAAGAGAAAAAGGCACAGGGATGCACCTTGTCATCCTCAACGGAGCGCTGGCACAAAATGGCCCCAACTACTGTACCCGAGGCATTCATCTCGACGAGGAACTGGCGAGATGGGTCAAGTAACTGCAAAATGGGACCAGAAGTAAACCTATTCCGTAGGTTAGTGAAGGCATCTTGGGCATCAGGAGTCCACTGGAACAGAACCTTGGAAGACGTGAGAGCTGTGAGAGGAGCAGCTACCATACTGTAACCCTGGATAAAACGCCGGTAGAAATTGACGAACCCTAAGAAACGTTGCAGATCCTTCCGTGTGCGAGGCTGCGGCCACTGACTGACAGCCCTCACCTTGGCTGAATCCATTCTGACCGTGCCCTCTGCGAGAACGAATCCCAAAAAGGAGATGATGCGTTGGTGGAACTCACACTTCTCAGCCTTTACAAATAAGCCGTTCACCAGGAGCCTCTGCAGGACCTCGCGTACATGCTGCACATGGTCCCTCTCGTTCTGGGAAAAGATCAGTATGTCATCCAGGTACATGAACACGAAGTGATTCAGCATATCCCAAAGGACCTCGTTGACCAGGTTCTGGAACTCAGCAGGAGCATTAGTAAGAACCGTGCCCCCTGTAACTGATCCAGGACAGAAGATAACAACGGCTAGGGGTATCGGTTCTTAATAGTGATCTCATTCAAACCCCTATAATCAATACAAGGGCGGAGCGAACCGTCCTTCTTGCCAACAAAAAAGAAACCCGCCCCCGCGGGTGATGAGGATGGTCGAATGATGCCAGCTGCTAAAGACTGTCCTATGTATTCTTCCATGGCTGTCCTCTCTGGAGCAGAAAGGGAATACAGACATCCCCTAGGTGGACTAGTACCCGGAAGCAAGTCGATGGAACAATCGAAAGGACGATGAGGCGGAAGGGCCGATGCCCGGGACTTACAGTACTAAACACCTCCTGAAGGTCCTGGTATTCTGCGGGTATCTTGGAAAGGTCCTGGGTCTCCCCAGGGGCTGTAGATGCCACAGGTGACCGGGCAGAGCGTAGGCAGTGGGAATAGCACGACGGACCCCAGGCGGTGATAAAACCCCTTCCCCAATCGATCTGAGGGTTATGCCTGAGGAGCCAAGGGTGACCTAATACTAACGGGACCTGTGGGGTATTAATTATAAACAGAGAAATATATCAACATGGTTGCCAGACAAACGGAGACTCACCGGGACAGTAGCGTGGGTCACCGTAGCCATTCTTCTTCCCGTAAGGGATTGAGCCACCAGGGGCATTTGAATAGGTGTTGTGGATATCTTCCACTGCTGAACCAGGGTGGCGTCTAAAAAACTGTCCTCTGCCCCGAAATCAATAAGAGCAGCTAACGACTGCTGCTGAGTCCCCCATGACAGCATGGCCGACACTATGGGGTGCTGGGGAGAAGAGGGCAAACCCAAAGCCACGCCCACCAGTACCCTCCTCCTTACTGGTGGGCGCGTCCTTTTACTGGACACGAAGCGACAAAATGTCCCATCTTCCCGCAATACAGGCACACCCGGGAGGAAAAACGCCGCTGCCATTCGGCAGGTGATAACCGAGCCCTGTCAACCTGCATTGGCTCGGGCATGGCCTCTAGGGGGCTAACAGTGGACTCCACGGGTCGAGAAACATGTGCTCCGTCCCGCTGTTCCCTCTCGCGTTGGGAAAGCCAGTTGTCTACGCGGAGAGCCAGGTCGATGAGGTCCTCTAACTCTTCAGGAAGATCGCGAGTGGCCAGCTCGTCCTTAATGCCTTCAGACAATCCCTGGTAAAAAGCATCAAACTGATTTGTCCTTCCCCATCCGCAAGACATAGCCAGGGTGCGGAAACGGATGTAATATTCAGAAACAGAGCGAAGTCCTAGGCGAAGCTGCATTAACTTACTCGCTACTTCTTTGCCGGATTTGGAGCGATCGAAAACACGCCTCATCTCTTCCGCGAAGCTGGAGAAGTGCGCACAGAAGGGAGCTCCGGTGTCCCAGGCTGCAGTCCCCCATTCCCTTGCCGGTCCGGTGAGCAGCGTAATTACATAAGCAACCCTGGAGCGCTCGATCGGAAAGGTGGAGGGTTGCAGTTCAAAAACAATAGAGCTCCTTTATCTATGATCTTCGTACAGACTCCTGGAGCCAGGGGGTCAGACGGCCTTGGTGAGAGTAAGTTGTATGAGAGAGACAAAGAACATGATGAGCGAGTAGCAAGGACAGAAAGAAATATAAAAAAAAGAAATATGAAAGCTATAAATTAATTAACTAAATGACCATAATTAAATAACTACAAATTAACTAGGGAAATCCCCCTAGGAGCATATTCTCTTCTTATTCTTTTTTCCAGATTTTGTATTACTCTCTCTTAATGATGTTGTAATATATCACAACACACCCATGTAAAGCCCCTTGAGGTGACTCTGCCGTGAAAGGTTGAAAACTGGGCAAGACATGAATTCCCAAACCCTATAGTTGTGAGGCAGAGCTTTGCACTAAGCCAACCTGCAGAACAGACATGTTCTAATGGCCCGTGGATACAAACTCTCCCTGGATTATTTCCCTGGTTATCATTCTGTACTGTTTGCCAAAAGGGAATGACTGGTGTCCTTTATGGTGCTGCCTGATTTTCTAAGGCAGCACCTGGTGCCTATAGCCTGGCCTCTCCTCTGCCATCTGCTATGCTTTATAGTATTAACCCTAACTAATTCAAATCTCTTTCCTGTTAGTTTATCCATGATTGAGCCTGGACCAGTACACACTGGTTTTGAGGTCAAAATGGTGGAGGATGTGTCACAGAAGGAGTTCCCTGGGACAGACCATGACACTGTGCACTACTTCAAGAATGTCTACTTGCCATCTTCCATTGACATCTTTGAGACTCTGGGCCAGACACCAGGTGATATTGCCAGGGTCAGTGTGCTTGCTGCTATAAATTTGTCTCAGTTTAATGCAATCAATTACATAAAGTTGGAACAGGACATTTTTACATTTACTTTATATTTACATTTTAATATATCATATTTACTCAAGTAGAAAGTTAGATTAAATTAAAAGCCGGGGGTGTGTTGCATATGAATGAATAAAGGCCGGGCCCCAGATACAGGCTGGGGAAAAAAGCAAGAGTGGATAAACTCCTGGGTCACATTTTTAAAGGCATCATATGAACAGAAGAGGTCCCACATTTGTGTGAAGACTTGGAGATTTATACAGAAACAACATAAACAAAGCATCCTCCAAAAAAGTGTGCACATTCACGAATGGTCCAGAGCAGTCGTATAAACGTTTTAAAGGTAATGGAAAAAAGTGACAATCAGAGTTTAGATAGAAATGTACATCTAGATTCTTTATTATTATTTGTCACATGCATAGTTATACAGCTACAACATGCAGTGAAACGTATCCTGATTAACCCGACCATACATATACACAAACATCACATTATAGGGGGTAGACAGGTCAGGAAGACAGGGGATATAGGAAGAACAGAGAAAAACAGAATTACATGAGGAGAGAGGAGGAGAATAAAAAAAACAGCCTCCAGACTGTACTACAGTAGGGAGTACAATGTAAGAACCGAAAAAAACACCTCAGCAACATTAGCACATGGTCACTACACCTTACAACATAAAAAGTCGTGACTTGCAACAGGGGACGGAAATGGGGAGGTGGAGGTAGTCCAGCAAAGACAAACAGCCATCCCGTCCTGCAGCCATAGCGGCACTGGTCACAGACCGAGATCTAAGCTACATTTACTCAGTTATAGCACATGGTGGAATGTGCATTAGTAAATGCAGAAACATCCGTATTATATCTCATAGACAACTAACATTCAGCATTTGTTTTATTGTTTTTAATGAATTACTTTATGTATCGGTGATGAGTTGGCGCCCCATCCAGGGTTGTTACCTGCCTTGTGCCCGCAGCCTCTGAGAACCTGAATAGGACAACTGTTATCAAAAGATTGATGGATGGATGGACTTTATATATACAAATATATATATGCATTATATATAAATATACACTATATTGCCAAAAGTATTGGGACACCTGCCTTTACACACACATGAACTTTAATGACATCCATCCCATTCTTAATACACAGGCTTTAATATGGAGCTGGCCCACCCTTTGCAGCTATAAAAGCTTCAGCTCTTCTGGGAAGGCTGTCCACAAGGTTGAGGAGTGTGTTTAGGGGAATTTTTGACCATCTTTCAGGAGCGCATTTGTGAGGTCAGGCACTGATGTTGGACGAGAAGGCCTGGCTCACAGTCTCCGCTCTAATTCACCCCAAAGGTGTTCTATCGGGTTGAGGCCAGGGCTCTGTGCAGGCCAGTCAAGTTCCTCCATGTCCTTATAGACCTTGCTTTGTGCACTGGTGCGCAGTCATATTGGACCAGGAAGGGGCCGTCCTCAAACTGTTCCTACAAAGCTGGGAGCATGAAATTGTCCAAAATGGCTTTGAATGCTGCAGCATTAAGAGTTCCTTTCACTGGAACTAAGGGGCCAAGCCCACCAGACTTTACACTTGGCACAATGCAGTCAGGCAAGTGCTGTTCTCCTGGCAACCGCCAAACCCAGTCTCATCCATTGGATTTCCAGACAGAGAAGCGTGATTCGTCACTCCAGAGAACACGTCTCCACTGCTCTAGAGTCCAGTGGCAGTGTGCTTTAAACCACTGCATCCGACACTTTACATTGCACTTGGTGATGATAGGCTTGGATGCAGGTGCTTGGCCATGGAAACTCATTTCACAAAGTTCTTGAGCTAATCTGAAGACCATACAAAGTTTAGAGTTCTGTAGCTATTGACTCTTCAGACAATTGGTGACTTCTGCACACTGTGTGTTTCTGCATGCGTTGTCCCTGCTCTGTGATTCTACATGGTCTACCACTTTGTAGCTGAGTTCCTGTTGTTCCCAGTTGCTTTCACTTTGTTATGATACCACTAACAGTTGACCATGGAATATTTAGTAGTGAGGAAATTTCACGAATGGACCTATTGCACAGGTGGCATCCTATCACGGTACCACACTTGAATTCACTGAGCTCCCGAGAGCGACCCATTCTTTCGCAAATGTTTGTTGAAGCAGTCTGCATGCCTAGGTGCTTGATTTTATACACCTGTGGCTATGGAAGTGATTGGAACACCTGAATTCAGTGATTTGGAGCTGTGTCTCAATACTTTTGGAAAAATAGTGTATAAACAAAAACGTTCATCTTACAATATCAGAATCAGAATAAGCTTTATTGCCAGGTATGTTAACACATACGAGGAATTTGTTATACTGACAGAACTCTACAGTGCAAAAGAATGACAGTGACAAGACAAGACACAGCTAATAAAAAGAGTTATATACAGATATACAAGATAGCGTGCAAAATAGCAAAAAGACATTCCAGTATGACCAGGTATGGTGTGTTTGTATAGGTATGTAGATATGTGCAAATATGAAAAATAAATAAGCGTGTGTGTTAAATAAATAATTTGTTTTAGTGTTGTGTGTACCACGTGTATTGTTAAGTGTTCATGACATTGTTAAGTGCTCATGACATGGACTGCCTGGGGGAAGAAACTGTTCCTGTGTGGTCGTTTTGGTGCTAAGTGCTCTGTAGCGTCGACCAGATGGTAGCAGATTAAAGAGGGAGTGTGCTGGGTGTGAGGGGTCCAGGGCGATTTTCTTAGCCCTTTTGCTCACTCTGGATAAGTA